TCATCAAAGGACTCTAAGTTGTTGAACTTGTTTAAGTCTGGAAATTAAGTAAGAGGCCATATCTTCCTTTTTAGTGCTTGAATCAATTTTATGGTTCCTATAATATAAAGTAGTATTTTAATTTGCTGTAATCTATTTCATTCCAGTTATTCCCTAATTAATGAGGCACCACTAATGGTCCCTGCTATCCAAAAAAATCTGATTGCCATCTTATTCTTATTGTTTATTACAGTAAATGTATTAACTGTGCCTCTTGTAGTTAATCACTGCCAATTGGTCTTTGTCACCATGGGACTGCATCATCCCACTGAAATCAGGGAGTCCATTTCAATGGCAGTATCTTATACCATCACAGTAACCCACAGAAAACAACTATCATGGAGAATACTGTGAAGAGACATTGGGAGCCTCTCCTTAAGGTATTTCTCAATGTGTTGGTGAAAGGAATGACTTCTGAGTCCTCTCAAAGGAAATGATTTTTGGGGCTGGGGTGAGTGTGCAAAATACAGACTATATCCCCACTACAACACTTCAATTTCCCCAAGCCTTTGGCTTCCTCCCTCTGCATTATGACAGGAAAATTCTAGTATCTTAACCTCACTAAATGTAGGCAACACAACTAGCTACACTTGTCGCTCCAAGACTCTCTAGTAATTCATAGGATGGCCCACAGTTTGTCATCATATCAGTATATATGTCCTGATTCAGAGTTTAATATTCTATCTCCTGTGGTCCTGTTCTTCTGTGACTTGAATTAGGAGGTAGAGACCCAAGCTTTTCTGAAGGCTCTCCAGTGATCTCAGAAGCATCATTGCTAGAATTAAAGGTCATCTGGTCCCTGGAGGACTTTAGAAATTTTTTCATCACAATTGCCCTTGGGTGATGAAGCATGATGATACACCACAGTATGATGCTAAGCATGGTATGGATTTCTCATATCCTATTTCCCTTGGGTGAAGAGATCATCACTGTACAAAAAACTACACCGACTATAGAATACCATATTCAAAACTATGTACTGGGACCTCTTCTGCTTCCAGATATATCAGTCAGACACCTTTAGTAAAACAGAACAAATAGGTGTATTTTATGTGATACAGCAAATTTAAAGAATACAGGTAATTGGTTAAATGGATTAAGAACTAAAATACAAAACTATAACACTGAGGTAACATAGAGATAACTGTAAAAGCATTTACTTCCCCGGAGCTTGGAAAACAAGGCAAAGAATTGGAGACTCTGATCTCTAAGGAGATAATACCATCAGGTGCTTCTATTGTCTCTTGAAAATAGTTCTGAGAAATGTCAAAAAAAGTCAGGGGCTGGAACTGGCCTTAGGGCAACAACACTGAGACAGTAAGGGAGCAAAGTAACTTCTCTTTTCCTCCTGCCTTCCACCTCCCTCTAGTGGCCTACACTGGTACAACCAGGTGGCAAAGATTAGTTTGTGGAGTCCCAGTCCCAGCATGATAGAGAAGCCCCAGATTGGAGCTGAAAGGTCATAAGTTAATAGGCCAAAAAGTATGTGTGACTATATTAACACATGTACTAATGCTCACAACACACACACATATCTTAGGATTTGGTGTACAATATTTTCATATTAAAATGAATTTTGTTCTCATTACAACAGCAAATAGTAAAGAAAAATAAGGTCATAGAAGAAAAAAGTCTATCCTACTGCTGAAAAATGACCATTGTTTATACTTTTGCTAGGATCCTTCTTGACTTTTCCCTCAATGTGTGTGTATATATATATATATATATATATTTTTTTTTTTTTCCCATGGAATCACAGTATACATACAGTTTTCTGAACTGCTTAAAAAATAAAAAACTTTCATTTAAAGAACTGGATACTTGAGGATCTCTGGGAGGGCCATGACACTGGTTGTTATTACTGGTTGTCCTGTTACCATCTTTCTAACATGAAAGTTCTGGAAGCTCAGCCAGGGGCAGAGCCTCTCACCAGAATTCTGAACTAACCTGATGGCTGAATGCCTAAGGTTTGGAATCCAGCCCTTCCAGACTGCTGGGGTCCCTAGGATGCCTAGGTAATGTTTCCTGATATTTCATTGTCAGGCTGTGACAAGTAGAGAGCAAGGCCTTTCTCTATGGTTGCTATGGATTTTGCTGACACAAAGCATGTTCTCTATCTGGTGCTGGGCAGATCCTAGGAGCTTACATTGTTCTGTATTAATCTATTATCAATAGCTGTCAATGCATTGGGCAAAAAGTTGACTGAAAATTTTAAGATACTTTTGTATTAAGTAGATATGGTTTACTTATATTTTGTTTTCTGCAAGTACCTGGTTTTATCAAAACAATCCAATAAAGTATTTTAAAACAACAACAAAACACCTTAATGTATCATCAAAAATTGCTCATATCATTCTAACTACTTAGAGGCTGAGGCAGGAGGATCACAAGTTTGAGGTCAACCTGGACAATGTAGTGAGGCCCTAAGTCAAAATAAAATAAAATAATAAATAAATAAGGCAGGGGATGTAGCTCAGTGTAACACCCTGGGTTCAATCCCCATTAATGAGAAACAAGGAAAACCTCCCAGAACTCATACTTATACATACTTATATTTACAACACTGTTTAAAATTGTAAACCACCTCTACAGGCTGGTGCAGGAAGCCTTAACACAGGGCGCAGTGCTTTTTACTATTTGATAGTACCTCAAAATTATTTTAACTCAGATTTCTTGGATTACTAATGAGATAGGCAAGGTTCTATGTATTTAATGGTCATTTGTGTCTGTGACAGTCTTTCATTTTTTATTTTTTTTTGAGTTTTACAATTTTAAGGCATGGTCCTAAAAACCCTACTTCTTGATTTACAAAGCCTGTATTCCTTCCATAGTCCCCAGGTCAAGAAGCTCCGACTTCAATATCAATTGCTCACTCAGAACTCCATCTCCTTGTCCTCCAGCTCTTGTTAACAATCTTAAACCCTCCTCCACTGAATACACAGAGCTCTTATTCTTGGGTTCCCTCATCTCTTTTCATTACTGCAGTCCAAACATATCCATATCTATAGCTATCTCTATGGCTCAGATAATAAGGCTTTTTTAACTTCAAGTCAAACCTTTTATATAAGCACTTGATTCCATCCTAGCTAGTGTCCTCTAGTATCTGAAAAGGAGAAAAGTGGGGGAAGAGACTGAGAGATGCTGTGCCACTGACTATGAAGATGGCAGGGAATAAACACAGTTGCCAAAAGCTGGGAAAAGCAAACAAACACACTGGGGTTGGTGGTGCAGGCCTGTAATTCCAGGACTCTGGGAGACTGAGGCAGGGGGACTGCAAGTTCAAGTACATTAATTTAGTAACTCAGGCAATTTAGTGACTCAGGGAGACTTTATCTTAAAAAAAAAAACACCATATATATATACATATATACATACACACACATATATATATATATATATATATGTATATATATATATATATGTATATATGTATATATATATATATATATGTATATATGTATATATATAGGGCCAAGGCCCAAGGTTCAATCTCCAGTACTGGGGAAAAACAAAACAAAACAAAACAAAACAAAACTGAAACCATAAAACAAGGAAACAAATTCTTCCCTAGAGTCTACCTAGACCTTTGGAGGGAAACAGCCACATCAACTTCATCTCAGTAAGTTTAATTTTGAACTTCTGACCGCCACAAACATAACTGTTATTTCCAGCTATTAAGGTTGTGATAATTGTTACTGCTGCAACACTAATACATATACAGGCCAACAGTGCACTGTGGACTCTAATATATTTAAGGAGTCTCTATATAAAGATATGGAGTGAGGATAAGGTGTTAAGGAAGAATTATCAAAGATGAAGACCCTAGGGATGAAAAAGGAAGATTGTTTTGTAGTGATAGTCCAGGTAAAGGGAGCAAAGGAAGAAAGGAAGGGAGAGGGAGAGAGAAAGAATGAGTTCAACAAGGCGAGACTACTTAACATTGAATACTACTTAAGGGTAAATGTTTTATGCCAGGCACTGTTCTAAAGCACATTACACTCCTGTGAGGTAGATGCTATTATTATCATCTTCGTTTTCCCCATAGGGATACAGAGATCTGGAGGAATGGAATAACTTTCCAGAGATCATAGAGCTAATAAATTGCAGAGCTAGAATTAAGAATCGTGGCTATCTCCAAAACTCACGAACTTCCCCTCTCCACATTATGGCGGGGGCATTAAGCAATGTTGTATCAGTACAGCTCAGATTAAATGAATTAGCAGAAAGATATTAATACGATAAGGATCAGCAGAACTTGGAATATCACCTTGTCTTGGACACTGATGGAGGGAGAATGGAAATGATGAATAGTCAGATGACCTCTAGATTTCTTTATTGTGATCCAAGTTTTGCTGTTATCTAAGATATGAAGGAGCCTTTCCTGACTACTCAAACTAAATCCCTTTTTCGATATAAACTCCACACCTTGCATAACCCTGTGAATCTCACTTCTTCCTTTTCTACTAATGGCTGAAGCGGAGTTGGTGGTTGGGCCTCAGTTTCCACATCTGTCAAACGCCTGAAGTAATTAAAACAGTTGAGAATACCTTTTGTGTGTGGGGGTTAAAATATTTTTTTTTTTTTTGGTACCGGGGATCAAACTCGGGTCCTTCCGCTTGCGCAGCAGGCGGCGAAACCACTGAGCTAAATCCCCGGCCCGGGGGTTAAAATATTGATCCCTCGCCCCAGTCACAGAGATTGTAATGCAGTAATACCAGCTTCCTCGCCAAGAAACTCTCCGCCGGGGTTTGGTTACTGGGGGGGTGGACTACTGGGTCTTCCCAGGCCCCTGTATTTGTCCAGGACTCCGCACCTCGGGTCACCCCGCCCCTCCGGCTCCGCCCTCCAGGCCCCTCCCCCTTCCCCCGGCCCCGTCCCTCGGCGCCTCCGGACTCCGTCCAATCTCCCCTCCTCTTCAGCCTCTCCACTTGGTCTCACCCAGCTCCGCCTACACCAGGTCCCTTGCCGTGCAAGATGGCTGCTGCCGTGCGGCCAGTCCCGGAGCCGTGGAACCGCGTGAGGATTCCTAAAGCCGGGAGCCGCAGCACTGTGACAGTAAGGGACCCTGACGCTGCCCTGGGTGAGTGAGGGTCCGGGGAGGAGGAGGAGGAGGAGGAGGGCCGACGTTTCCCGGGGCGCTAGAGGGCCAGGAAGCACGTGGGGGGCGGGACTTCCTGAGCCCGGGGGACGCTGGGAAGGGGAGCTGGACGCTGTGGGGCTTTGGCTCCGCTGGTGGTCCACGGATTACGCGCTGTCAAGGCAGGACCCGGCTGGTGGACACAGGACCAGGGTTAAAGGGCTGCCTGGGACCCTGTGGTGGGTCACGCTCCGCGAGCTTACCCTTCTGTCCGTTTCCCTTCTGCCTCCAGGGAACTGGGGGCGACACCCAAGCACTTTGGACTTTAATCACAATCTTATTTGGAGTGCTCTGTGAGCGAAAGTGCTTTACCAACCTATGATGAGTGCTGTTTTGAGCAGTGGGGCATACATAATAGGTAGGAGCTTGGGGGACAGATATTTAACCTTTCTGTGCCTCAGTGCACTTTTGAATGGGAATAAAAACAGTACCTGCCTCTTAGGTCTGATCTAGGGAATAAAAGAATTGATATAGGAAAAGCGTTTGAAACACTGCCTGGTATGGTAAATAAGCACTCAGATGATAGCAGTTATTTATTTATTTATTTATTTATTTATTTATTTTTGGTACCGGTGATCGAACTCAGTACCTTGCTCTTTCGAGGCAGGCGATGGAACCACTGAGCTAAATCCCCGGCCCCATAGCAGTTATTAATATTAAATATTTTAGCACATTTATGTTTATAAAGTACAGCCAGTCAAATCATCACATCTCCCTTCCCATCTATCTTAGGAAAATTACAGATCCATCAGAAATTCATTAACAGATTCCAATTAGGTATGGGAAATTAATCAGCTCCTCAACCTCATGGTAGTGAGTCCTGTTTTCGTATAGTACTTGAGACAGTTAACAAATTCTCCACCTTATGTAGAAAATCTGCCTTTGTGTTACTTCCACCCACCTAATGAGATGATCTGATGCTTGCCTTAGAGCCATTATCTATCTCTTAGCATTTCAGGTTAGGAAACACCTAGGCACCTATGTTTAGTCAGACATTCAGCAAATACTGTAACTTGCAGTGGCCATAATGGTTTCTCTTTTCGAATATAGTTGAGCTTTGTGACTGTGAGGGATTGGTTCTAGGAACTCCTCCCTGCTTAAGTCCCTTGTATAAAATGGTGTAGTTTTTGTACTACACAATCCACTTGTATACTTTAAATTATCTCTAGATTACTTACAATACAACGTAAATGCTATGTGAATAAAGTTATATTGTGTTGTTTAGTGACAAGAATAATATCTACAGCGTACAGATGTAGTTTTTTCCAAGTGTTTTCCATCTGAGGTTTGTTGAATCTACAGATGTGGAACCTATAGATATGGAGCACAGGCTGCATATTCTTGTCTGTATTAAAGTGGTATCCAAATACAATTCCTTTTACTTTGAAAGCTGTGAATGTATTCATTCTGTCTTGCTTACTTGGGTAGCAAAATGGGGGATGGAGATACACACACGGCATGTGCCCAGCTTCATGTGTACCCACATGACTACAGAGTAGTCACAGGAAAGATTACTTAAGTCATGGTAAAGTGTGATGCAAAGAAATAAAATATATTCTTGTTTAAGTGATGTTCTGTTTTGATTTCTATTAATGATTTCCTGGAGTTTATATCATCTGTCACCATTTCCCAGCTTCTCAACATACTTAGAATCCTTTGTTATGTTTATGGAGGCTGATTAATTTTTAAAACTTCTAAAGCAATAAGAAAAGATGGTTTTGTTCATTGTATTTTTTCATATACACTTAATGTAGAAATACACACTAAGTCTCGTTAAACGTCTATGTTTCAGAACTTTGTATTACAGCTGTAATTAAAGAATGCCATCTCGTCACACAGACTCTGAGGAGCCAGACCTTAGATGCAGAAACAGATGTTTTATGTTCAGTCCTTTACAGCAACCACAACAGAATGGGCCATCACAAACCCCATTTGGCCCTCAAACAGGTGAGGAGGAAGCCTGCTAGTTTGTGAAGATATAGCTTACGCTGCCACTTACTATTTTGTAATTTATGGAAATCTCAGTAAATTACTTGTGTTTTATAGATCTGTAGACCACTCTTCCATGTGGGCTGTCTCTCTTGCACAATCTTCCCTAAAACTGTTTCGAAAAATAGTTTTTGTTCAAAAGTAAGTTTTTTTTAATAATTCTTTCCTGTTCATTTTTAGTGGGTTAAGTAAAAAGCTTTTCTATATGTATATAATAGTGAATTTGCCCAGTTCGAAGATAAAGTGATTTGATCAAGACAAAATGTTGGACATTAAGAAACAATTCTTTGAACATAACTAAAATCCTGAAACTGCAAAAAGAACAAAATTATGGACTTTATTATGGAATAAATAATCAGTAGTATGCTGGAATAATTGTGCATCTAGCAAGTTGTAAAAAGTGATTTTGTGTAATTTTTAGAGTGTAGACAAAATTGGGCCCTCCACCTTGGAGACTACACTATAGAGGAGAACCTCTTAAACTGAGTTTCTTAGGTGCTCATTTGTTTATTTACTTTATTAATTATGCAAGTAATGTTTGGAAGTCTGGTGTGCTATCCATTATATGACAGAGCTACTTTGCAAGTAGTTTTTACCACTTTCTCTGTGCCAGGTACTGTGCTTGATGCTGTGTGTACAGGAGTGAAAAGACATACATACTAACCTTACAGATATAACTCATAACCTAAGGCAAAAAGTATGAAGAGTTCTTCAGTAAGGAAAGATCTGGGATCATAGTCTTTCTCTAATCTTTCTTCCCTAAAGTAGCTTTTATCTGAGTCTTCTTACACCCAAGCAAACTGGTTAACTCTTAAGTTGAACATATTTCCTCTCCTTGCTTCCGAATTATAAATAATACAATTCATACAAGTCATACCAGTCATACAATTCAGTATTCTGTTGTCTGTTTCTTCCTTTTTTTTTTATGTGTTTCTTCCTTTTACGTAGCTCATTTGGTAAGTCAATTGGTAAGTCAAAACTTCTCTCCATCTAATCTCTGCATCTGCCTTTTTCTTGTTTTAGAACTTGTCAACTTGGAGTGGTCTTATTATCTTGATTTATGTTTCTTCCTGTAGTATTTCCTACATTGTTGCATATTTTATACACCAAAACCAGGTTAATCATCTTTAAGCAACTTTAATTTTTAATACTTCTTCATTGTGTCCTGAATAAAGACCAGTCTCTTCAGCTTGGCTTATGAGACCTGCTATGGTCTGGCATCTTCAGCCTTCTTATCTCAGGCTTTGCTTTTGCCTTTGGTAGGTTGTATTTCAACTAACCTGAACTCTTTAATGAATCTACATGCTCATTGTGTTTGTTTCCTCTTGTGAGTCCTTGCTCTTCTGGTCCTGTGTGTTTAGAATGCCCAGCCTCTCTGTGCCTAACTGTGAGAAGCTTTCTCATCCTCTAAGCTCCATTTTAAGGCTTCCTGGTAGTGATAATCTTCTGTCCAAGGTGTAACATTGAGTGTATGTTATGGTAATCCTATTTCAAGTTGCATTTTTCTGATTGTTAATGAAGTTGACTTCATTTTTTTTTTTTTCCTGCTTGGTTATCTGGAACTCTTCTTTGTAATTCTCTTACAGCATTTGCTACAGTCTGTATTTTGGTACAGTGACTTCTTTTAGTGTTTTAGTTCCCCAGGATCCCTCAATATGTCTCATGCTCCTCTTGCTGCTGCACCTGCTGTTGTCACTACTACTACTACTTTATATCTGCTTAACATTTCACAGTTTACAAAAAACTTTTATATCCTTTTTTTATTTTGGTACCGGGGATTGAACTTGGGTCCTTGTGCATCCGCAGAAGGCAGCAAAACCACTGAGCTAAATCCCCAGGCCAAAACTTTTATATCCTTTAAAGCTAATTTTTTCAGTCTTCAAAGGCTAGACACTAGAATTAGCCTCTCTCTATCCATCCCCCAAGTGAAGGACAGAAAATATTCTTGATTCTTCTTGTGTGTGAAAACTGTTCTTATTTTTCTCCATGTCCTCTCATCCTTGCTAAAGTTCTTATTTTCTTTTTTCTTTTGAAGCATAGTTTACTTATTATGTTCCAAGAACCTTACTGTCTTTGTCAATCCCTTTTCTCAAAGAACGGCATCCAGATTTAAAACTCGAAAAAGTTAGGAGTTGACCCCAGACAATTTAAGGATTATTGCTGCCATTATTCCAAAAACTATGTTAAGACAAAAATCCACAACTGATTGGATTTTTAGTATTATATATATAGCTCTAGCAAGATAGTGTTGCCAGTATAGTACTTTCCAGGTCTTTACAACCTTCAGAATGGAGATGGAGTCCCAGGCGTGCCTTTTGTGTGATACTTCCTGGCAACTATAGAATTCTTACAGGATTTTGCATGGCTTTGCCTTTTTTTTTTAAAATAAAAAATAGTATTGAATCCCTACTGACACTGTTCTAAGAACTGTCCATTTGGAGTTTATAGTATAGTTTGGAGAGAAAGGCAGTTAGTGGTATGAATGACAGGTGGTGGTAAGTACTGTGGAGAAAAAGACTAGGGTATTGTAATCTTAAAGTATACCTATTTTTTTAGAATTAAATATTTTGCATATCATCTTATGTTTACTACTAGAACTTGGGAAATGTCCCATATACCAGTTTATTTCCCAGTATATCTTCCATGGAGTAGGTGTTCATACATTTTTTAGTGACTGAATCACTTTCTTCATCTCTGAAATAGTTCTTACAGACTGTTGAAATTTAGTTATCAGTAACTTACTCTTGTTTTCATAGTGCAGTATTATAAATCATGTTACCTCAGCAAAATTATAATCTTGAGAATTAACTTTATACTTATTTTGCTCCCTGTTACAGCATGTGGCACGTTTTGGCATATCGTAATTCTGAAGCATTACCTGATCTTAGAAATTTGTTGGGCTGAATACATTCCATATTTGTAACCAGAATCAATTATTTTGGCATTTGTATTTCTTTACTCTTAAAATAATGAATCCTATGATATTTAGCATGTTTTCATACTTTGAAAGTCTGGTTTCTTTGCTTTCCAGGTTCTATCAGTGATCCTGCCTGTGTCCTGTACATATTAATTTGAGCTGCTCTTCCTCTTTCAGGTTGAGCAATGTTTAAAACGTTTGAAAAAGATGAATTTGGAGGGCTCGATTGAAGACCTGCTTGAGTTGTTTTCTTCCAAGTAGGTGGTTCACTGCTTTGTGATGTGATGGGCTGGGAACCTGATGTCCTGTTGTGATCTCCTTTGGATTTTTTTCTGCTTGATTTTGGGATATAACCAATTATACCTCAGCTGTACAAATTTTGTTTTAATAAGGGACACTTGGTTTTTGTGGTAGTGTATCTACTTCTGTTGGTGTGTGGGAGTGACTAGCGTGACATTGAAATTTGGGTTACAGTAGGTTATATTGAAATATTGGTGGGTTGTTAGCAAGCAAATCTTCACTCGAAAACTGCTGTAGAAATGCTTTGTATTTAAAAATGAATGAAATGTACTTTTCTGTTTTTGTCCAGTGAAAATCAGATTATTACTACCAAAGTGTGTGTTATCCCCAGCCAACCAGTGGTGGAGTTGGTGTTAATGAAGGTTTTGGGAGCCTGCAAGTTGTTACTGCGCTTGTTAGATTGCTGTTGCAAGGCATTTCTGTATCCTTGAACATAGTGAAATACTTTCTTGTGAGTGAGAACTGTTTGGATATATTTGGCAGTATTTCTGATTGTATAAAAGTGTTCTAATCTGGGAATTCTTAAAATTTAGTCTTGATCTCCTTTTCCCAGTAAATGCTGAATATGGCCATGGATATGGCTCCTGTTTCTTTCTAGCACATATCCTAAGAGTATTGACAGGTATAAATTCTTGATCTTTGAAACTAAATTTAATAATAAATCTATAGCAGGTTGTATATATTTTCAAGTCTACATTTTGGACTGAATATTTTTTTTTTAAAGCATCACTGGGATTTGAACCCAGGGTCTTCACACTGAGCCACATCCCTGGCCCTCTTTTAATTTTTTTTTTTTTCTTTTGAGACAGTTCTTGCTAAGTTGCCTAGATAGAGCTCAAACTTGAGATCCTCCTGCCTCAGACTCCCAGAGTGCTGAAAATAAAGCATGTGCTACTGCATCCAGCTAGCAGAACATGTTTTAAGGCTTTAATTGCCTTCAAAAAGATTCTTTTTACTTCCAGTCTGTTTCTTCTCTCATAATTGTAATTTGCAAAATCCAATTAGTTTGGTTTTGTTTTCCCACCTTAAACTGATTCTCCAGTTTGACTGTGAAACACCTAGGATTACAAGAGTTCATTATTTTAAACCTTGTCATGGTTGGGCTGGTGAGCAGATTATGGTATGTATATACTTTTGATGTCCTTCATTTGTTCTTCATTTTTCTGCCTCAGCCTAGCTTTCTTATTAGCATTTCATATAGTTTCATGTCATATGTTGAAGGTGTGGGAGTTCCCTTTCTTCATCTTACCACTTTACTTGGGGTAGATTGGGAAAGTAAGTGCTGATGGTTATGACAAAGGAGTAGGCTTCCTATTTGAAGCCCATGAGATTGACCCAACACTAAATGGGTAAGCAAATTAATTCCTAAGATATAGGAACTGTAATAATAAAAAATTATTAGCAGTAATTATATTGTTATGGGCTGTTTAAATGATTCCTGGGCTGGCTATACTCGATTCTTTGTGCCACTTGATTTCTGCTTTTTAATGGCAATGAAAAATACAGTTTGACTTTCTATATGCATTCTAGACTTTTCTTCCACCTGAAACACCACCACTTTTTGAGGTGTATTATTGATATAAAGCACAGTAATAATACTTGTAAACTAAAGAGGCATACTGTTGCATTTCTCAATATATATTGTGAAAATGATGGCTAATTAGACTCATAATTGAATCATTAGCTCTAATTTGAATTTAACAAAACTGAAAAAAAGTAGGAAATATTTTGTCTTCTGTGATTGAAAACCTTGCTTTAATGGCTTAACCTGATTGTCTCACATCCTGTTTTTAATATTGTTTTTTATCCTGTTTATTCTTAGAAGTAATAACATTTCAATTACCAATCTTTTTTTTTATAATGTTTAACCTTTGTTATTCTTCTTTTTTTTTCGTACCAGGGATCGATCTCAGGTCCTTGAGCTTGCGCAGCAGGCAGCGAAACCACTGAGCTAAATCCCCAGCCCCTGTTATTCTTTTTTTGTAGTGAAAAGAGATTTAATTTTTGCTGAGTACAATAATGGTGTATGCTTCTCTTAAGGAATTCACAAATAACTAGATGTTGACCTGAAATCTCATCATCTAGATCAGTGGTGGTGAACCAGTGGCAAGTGTGTTGTTTTTCGTTTAAGACAAAGGATGTTAATGTCTGAGTTGTTTTTTCTAAACTGAAACCTCAGTATTTAGGTTTAATTGCAGTGTTGGCATTTTGCGATAAATAAGTGGATTTGGAGTTGTAGTTTGGGCACGCATCTCTAAAAGGTTTGCTATCACTGATCTAGATAAAACTACCCACAGCGTTTTCATTTGCATCCTTCGACACATCTCTAGTTAGTTGTTTGTTTTTGAGTAACTTTTATGCTTGGATTTTTCCGTTTGGATTGGATTAATCTGCGTAGTTAAAAATACTCAGTATTTTTATCTACAGCGGCAGAGCTTGATAGCCATATATTTTCAGTTTTGAATCTTGCAATTTATTATGTATTGTGCAAATTATTGCTAGGCAATTTTTGAATCCCTTTTTTCTTTCTAGGGTTCTCTATAAAGATGTTTTAAGAAGGTTGATTTCTTTATATGAGCCATTATTTGGATTGCTTCAAGAGGTCTCTAGGATTCAACCCATGCCTTACTTCAAAGATTATACCTTTCCTTCTGATATTACCGAATTTCTAGGACAGCCCTATCTTGAAATCTTTAAGAAAAAAAAGCCTACAGCTTTTGCAGCTAAAGGAGTAACTAAGTTGCTAAATAAACTATTTTTAAAAAAAGAACAATCACCAGGATCCAGTGAAGATACTTTACTTCGAATTTCCCAAAAGGCTAAACAAATGAAGATCAGTGTACAGAATAACGTGGATCTTGGACAGCCAGTAAAGAATAAGAGAGTCCTCAAAGGTAATTTGCTTTGATATAGCACATATTCTAATTAAATAAACCCTTTGAAAGCATGCATTGTATAGAAAGAAATTCAGTATCTCTTCTTAATGTTAACCTATACTGATTATCTTTAGAAGGGTATGGTTACCTGTGTTTTCTGAGCTTGAACACTTAAAGTTCTTTATCTTATGTCTTCATAGTTTTTTGCTTGCTTCATTTCCTTTATTTCTTTTGTGGTAACCCAGCAAAACAATTAACTCACTTAAAAATGTGTTTGTGATTTGAAAATAGTATACTTGAGATTTTGTATCTGTGATTTTCCTCTTCACAGAAAAGTCATCAGGACTTGATGTGAGAGCTTTCTGTGAACAGCTGAAACACAAAGATATTCAGGTTAGTCTCGCTAAATTTAATTCAGCTTATGATTTCTGCTAATTTGCAAAGGATGTTACTTATGAAGGAAAGGATCGAATCTTCCTTCTCTTTTTTATTCCCAGCTAAGCTTGGTGTCTTTAGTTCTCAGTGTCTTTTTCTTATTTCCCCTGCCCTCCCCTCTCTTCTTGTCCCCCTCCCCTTCTTTTCTTTTGTGTGATAGTGGGGATTAAACCCAGGGAGTGCCGAGCTATATCCCCAACATTGTTTATTTAGATAGTCTTGCTAGGTTGCCCAGGCTAGCCTTGAACTGTGATCTTTCTGTCTCAGCTTCTGGAGCAGCTGAGATTATAGGAGTGTGCCACAACTCCTGGATCGGTGTGTACTTTTGAATGAATAGAGTCAAAGGATTATTAAAAAATGCATCCAGTTAACTCAGTTACTAGAGTGCCTTCAGGAATGTTTTAGGAGTTTCTCTAAAGTTTTAAAGTGACCATAAATTTCATCATAAGTATGGATTGTACTGCAGTTAAGAGTTTGGAATTTGCAGTTAGACAGATAGTTTGAATCTGGCTCTGGTTTGTACAGCTGTGTGACCTGTAAGTACTTTGACCTTTACATCTCTCTATTTTGTAATAATAGCATATACCTTATAGGGTTGGGTTAGTTTTAGTGCATGTAAAGTGTTCAACTGAGTCTGGCGTATATGGTAAACATTTAATTGGTGTTAGATGTTATTAGCAACTGTCAGTATTTTTGTCATCATTGTCATTTGAATGAAGCTCCTATTTTCCTCTTATTGAGGCTCAAGCTTGAACATGAGTCTTCATATTAGTGTCTATAAATTGTTTGTTCTGAACTTAATGGATAAATAAATCAGTGTCACTCTTAGCACCCAGTGACTACTTGACTTTTGTCTTCCTTTGGGGATTAGTTCTTCCATTCTCCTTAAGAATTCTTAATCATTTCTAATAAGTATTTCTTTCTTGAACTTTTTACAGACTTCAGCCTGCATCTAACTCTGCCCAATTCATGAGTTCAGAGGGAGAGATAATAGTAATAGCGAATACTTTCTGTGCCTGACATTGCTGCTCTATATGGGTTAACTTATACAATCCTCAGAAAAGCCCTGTGACGTAGATGTTTTTATTACTGTTTTCATATTTCATGAGAAAATTGTGGCATAGAAAGGCTGATAAGTTTGTATAGGCCGCACAATACAAGCCTTGGTTTCAGTCTGTGTTCTTTACCATTACACCAGTCTCCAAAGTAGTTTTTTCACTTCTGTGTCTCAGAGAGAACCATGGTGGTTTGTGACCCTTGAAAGTGGTTTTGAACATGGTTGGTCAGCATCTGTAATTCAAGAGTAATCACTGCAGTATTTTTAGCAATTGGCACCAGTATGCTCAGTTTGCTTTTAGGGGAAACTTCTCTTATTGGTCACCAAACAAAATATTGATGGGCCACTATAAATTTCTACTGGGTGTGAGAAATTTGGAAAGAAGATAAATTTTGAATGGAGAATAGAAGCAGACTTGGTAGGTGGCATATTTTCATTAAGGAATAGTAAAAGTAAAATCTAAATTTGATACAGAAAAAGATGACTGAATAAAGGTGCCTTGTTAGAAATGGTTTAAGTAGAATTGAAAGTGCTGCTCAGTTAACCATTTTTTTTTTTTTTTTTTTTGGTACCAGGGATCGAACTCGGGTCCTTGCGCTTGCAAAGCAAGCGACGGAACCACTAAGCTAAATCCCTGGCCCTCAGTTAAACATTTTTAACATGTTTGGTAAATGTTCATTAACTGATTGATAGGCTTACCCTGCCGAGCACTTTGCAGGGCCCTACGTACCCCGACTCCTTGGGTGTATTTAGTAACATTTATGACCCATTATTGAGGATTACTCAGGATAGAATACATTAAAAATAAGTGTGACAGTCCAGTGATATAGAGGTGAAGGGCTCACCAATCATTTTTTTTTTTCACTATTAGGCTTTGAGAAGTATTTAATCATGTGGAATTTTATTCTTGTGTGTGTGTTGGGTATGTATGCCAATGTTTGTATTGAGTTTCCTGTGTCCATTTAATTCTGTAGTAGATGGGCCTTGTCTTAGTGTGGGGCACAGGAGTGAGGGGAAACCAAGTTGTATTAGGAGCAGTGGATAAAAAGTTAAGACAAAAGGAAAGCACAATAAGTAAAAATGTCTTCCTTCACTAAGTGAAAAATCTTCCTTTTAAAAATTCTATTTTAAAATTCTGATTGAGTCAGATTTCCTTCTTATATTTGTTGAGTTAGTAGCAGTCAATATATTTTCATATGTTTTCACATTTCAGGAGACCAGCTTTGAATCTAAATGTTCTCAATCCAAACTAAAGACAACCAAACACTCTTCTCAGAAAGTGATAGGAACTCTCCATGCCAAAAGTTTTGTGCAAAGATTCCAACAGGCCAAGACTTTCATACAACTTTCTGAAGAAATCCAAATGGCAATTGTATGGTGCAGGACCAAAAAACTCAAGGCTCAGGTCACCTTTCTGGGTAACAAACTTCTTAAAAGTAACCGTCTTAAACATGTAGAAGCTCAAGGTTATAGGTAAGTATATTTTAAAAATTATATATATTCAGGTTTCTTTAAAAAGATGTCTAGCAGGCCTTCAGGGACTAAATCTGGGATCTACTCAAAGTGTAATTTCATATGTTGTTTTTATTATGGGGTCAAAGATAATCCTTGAGAGGAAGAAAGTAAATTTAGGTGAATTGGACTTTCTCATTTATACTCTTTTATCATTGCCATTTGTTCATTCAGAAAGCATTAAGAATGTCTGTGGTGTGCTAAGCCTGGGGATACAACTACAGGAGACAGACTAGGTCCTTGGGAAGCTCATGCTCTAGTGGGAGAGGTGGTTCTTCTGCACCATGTCATTGTGGGTGCAGGCCTACTGTGCTACCAGGATCAACGTTGGGTTTGATGTTTGTAAGAGCTGAACTTTTGATGTACTGACATCTCCCTTTTCCTGTGATTCTTAAATTAAGAGGATTAATTAGGGTTGTGAACCAATACTGCATGAAGCATTCCATGAAGTTAAGATACTTCAGGGCTTTATATTTTTATTGAAAAAGTAATAGATGCCAATGGTAATTTCAGGTGGAAACATAAAGATCCTTCTTCCCCCTTTACAGAGGTAGTCATTTGCTTGACTTTTTCATGTGTTCATCAAACAATAGTCCATACATGTACCATAATCTCTTATTGGTAGTTATTTAACTTTTTTTTTTTGGTACCGGGGATCGAACTTGGGACCTTGTGCTTGCGAGGCAGGTGGTGGAACCACTGAGCTAAATCCCCGGCCCTCTAAAATTTAATTTTTAAAAACTATGAAAAATATATTTTTGTTTCAGAAAAATATCTAGCACACAACAAAGGTTTTGTTACAGGTTTTACCTAAGAGCTGTGGGAAAAGCTGTGGAATATTCCTAAGGAATGAATTGCTAGAGGGGTTTGTGATCCCCTGGAGGCCTGTAAAACAGATCTAAAAGGGATCTGTCCTAAGGTTAGAAATTTAGGTATTTGTTCAAAGGTACATGAGGCAGAGATGCTAATGATTAAAAGTCTGTGAAGGGGTAAAAACTTGTGTTTATTGGTTAAACCATTAGTCTGTATCTCCTAAAATATAGTGCTCTTTCATTAATACATTTTTTTTCTTTTTTTTTTTTGGTACCGGGGATCAAACTCGGGACCTTGTGCTTTCAAGGCAGGCGGTGGAACCACTCCCGGCCCTCATTAATATTTTTTTGTAGTACACTCTACAATGTATTTAATGTCTTCATTAACCTTGTGAGGCAGGCAGTATTCCTGTTTTATAGATGAGAAAATGCCGGATTTTTCTCTAGGTGTTTGAACCGGAGATCTGAAACTCAAGTCATCTGTTTACTGTTTTCATTCATTCTCTTTCCATTTCAACTCAGATGTGCACACCTACCTTTTCCCCACTTAAAGGTCACTACTTACAGTAAGACAAGAAAATGGTTTGGAAACAGAGATTATGTATTGCTTCATTATAATGGGCCACCTCATATTTTTATTTTTGTTTTAAAAAAGGGGAGGGAGGTGAGATAGGGAGCACAGACCTACATTAATCTTTTAAAATTGCACTCACAGTATGAGGCAGTTTCAGCAAGTCACCAGGGAACTATGTGCCAGTATACTGTTTAGGAAAAAAAATACCTAGGACAATCAGCCTTTTGAGTTTTGAATTTCCCACACTTGAAGATGATGTATGAATCATACTGTGTAGCTAAAAGCTGGCAGTTTGTCTGTGTCCCTGTCTTCTGTTTTATAAACTCCCTCTTCACTCATATTTTTTTCTTTGTTCATTCCTGTCACAAGAAGTTGCTTATCAAGATATGAATTATTACATACTGGCAGTTTTAAAAATTTTTGATGTTTCTCCATTTCTACTTCTGTTACATTATGAACAGATGATCAGGTATGAGGGAAAACTGGTATTAAAGAACGGGGGTATCTTACTTTAGAAGTTGCTTAACTTTGAGGGAAAAATGCAGACATTTCTACCTTCAACCTGAGTCAGGGCGAAATTATGCTCTGAGTACAGAGATGTAGTTTGAAACTATTTCTTTATTTTTTATTATGATCCTTGAATTATACACAGGCTCAGGACCTGTAAGTAAATTGTGTATTTTCTGTTGGGTGTTGGTTAAAAAAAAATCAGATACAGTGATGGAGAATTTTTTGGCATTTTAACAAGCTCTGGTTTTTCTATCCTTTAGTTTGCCAAAGAAACTAGAATGCATAAAAACATCTATTTGCAACTGCCTTCTTCATGGTTCAGGTATCAAAACATCAAAGCATCATCTGAGACGAAGAAGATCACAAAATAAATTTTTACTAAGAAAAAGGAAACCACAGAGAAAGTTGCAGTCAACTCTTTTAAAGGAAATTCAGCAGTTTCCTCAAGAACCTCTCAAGAGGGCTATGGCTACCAGTACTAAGTGGAGACTCTCACACTGCACAGTTCAGAGAACCGATCACTGCCCTAACAGTAAGCAGCTGTTGAGTAGCAGACTTATAAATCCTGCCACACAAGCTAAGGACAATCAGATTCATGGAAATCTTATAGGAAGCAGTGAAAGTCAAACTGATTCATGGACAGAGATGCAAATACACAAACAAAATACGCCAGGACCTGTTAAAGAGACAGATGACATTGATGACATTTTTGCTTTAATGGGAGTGTAGATGTTCATTTACTTTTAAGCAGTTAACAAGCTGGTCCATTGTTGTGCTGTTTTAAGTGGAGCTGCTGAGATCTTGAAATACTACTGCTTAGGCTCAGAGAGGAGCTGCTTCCATGTAACATCCCACAAGAGTTCATTTCAGTTTAATAAAGATTTGAAGTTTTTGTTTGGGGTTTTTTTGGCAGTACTGGGGATTGAACTCAGGACCTTGCGCTTGTTAGGCAGGCACAACGCCACTGAGCTACATCCCTGGCCCTTAAAATAGTTTTGTATCATTTAATCACCAAGTATTTATTTGGCTTTGGCTATGTATCAGGTGTTAAGATATAGTCTGTCACAGTGTCTTTAGAAATAGATGTAATTCCTTAACTGGGACTGGTAGGTCCCTGAAAAATGGAATAATTTTATAATTTATCAGGGAATTAAGACCTGAATAATTAAGTTTGTCAAAAGCCTCTGTGCCTTAAACAGGGAGTGAGGTGGGGGAGTAGCAAGGAGACATCCCATAGGGTGCCTTTGGCTTCACTGGCACCATCACAGTAGGTCCACTTCAGAATACCAATGTTTGTAGTTTCTGTTGGGCGCTATCATCAAAATGACTCAAATTTTGCTACTAATTACATTACCAGACTGGTTACAACCACTTTCTCTTAATTTTGTTCACCTTATGTTATAGGAGGGTATATTTAACATGTTTCCAAATAATGATGTGAAGTTTGAAGTATATTTTCAGTGTTCAAACTTAACTAGAATTATGTAACTAAGTTTCTATTAGTTGTCTTAAATTTTGTTACATACGGACTTACAGGAAACAGTACTCTAATATATAATGCATTCTTTTCTTTGGCAATCTTTATTCACCCTTTGCCCTTTCTGCCTGCTTTTTGTATTTTCCCACCTATCTATCCCAGTGGTTCTTGAACTGGTAGAGAATCACTTGGTCAGTTGTTGATTCCTAGTCTCTTCCCAGAGATTGGTAAATATGGACTAGGGGATGGAAATGAAATCTGCATGTTTAACGAGGGAGTCCAGATGATTTTGATGAAAGTGGCTCAAGAACCTTCGAAGAGTACTAAATCAGAATTAATGTAAAAAGTGGGTTAGCTTCTCTCCTGAAGCCTTGTTAAACATCCTGTTTCAACAGTTCTTATCTCCAGATCTAAAATCTGAAACTTTTTGAGCATAGACATAATGCTCAAAAAGTTACAGATTTTAGAACATTTCAGATTTCAGAGTTTGAGATTTGGGATGCTCATCCAGTAAATCATATCCTGATATTTATTCCAAAATTTGAAACACTTCTGGTCCCAAGCATCTTAGATAAAGGATGAAAATAGTATTAGGTGCTCAGATTATTTAAAACAGCAGTGTATATGACCTGTTTTTAAAATCTTGGTCTTCCTACTTCTGATCTTCCTGCTCCAAATCTTGTGTTCACCTGAAGGTGAATGATTCCAGTGTGAAATGAATGGTATTTCCAACAAACAACCAATATGTTGATTTACAGACTAAAGTTTATCAAAAATAATTCTTTTAATATTCAAGGACTCAAAAAAGATTAATTACAGGCATACATATGAGCTTTTATTCTTCAACTTACCTATCTCAACAGAAAAACAGCTGTTTTGTCTATTTTAATATCTTAAAAAAATACATGATAGACATTTTCAAGATAAAAGGCCAATAAATAACATGGCAAACCTTTCTCTACATAGTAGTAATAGGTTTTGTTTTGTTTCTATGTGTTGTCAGTTTATTAAGACAGGAAAACCAGCTAGTATCTGTTACAATGAACAGCACAATTCAGTTACTTATACTCTCCCCGCACCCAGGCACAAATTCATCTTGCTTTGGGAAGATGCAGGTCTTAAAGCTGAAGTGATCCTTGTGCAAATTTTAGAAGCACAACATTTAAAATAATAGTGAAACTCTTCCAGGTGTTTGGCTCCAGTTGGTACAAAGAACTTTGAAACTTCATCTAAAGTGGGAACCATTAAGATTTCCTGTTACATTTACTATAAAGCATTTCAACAGATGGATTCCAGAATAGGTCACAGTACTGTGCAAAAAGAAAAACAATTTTTTTTTCTTATCTTAGAGGTAGTAGCAGATTTGAATTCATCTACATTAAAGTTATTTGCAAACACTTACAATTCCATGTATGAAGCAGAGTGTCTTACTTTGTTCTACCTTTCCTCCTTTCCCCCAACCTCTTGTAATATTTAAAAATCTGATGATTCATAATATCTGATTTTCTTCATAATTCTAAAAATTTACCTTATCTTTTACCTTCTTTCTCCCAGATTAGGTCTTGATGTTGTCAGTTGTGACAAAAATTCAATTTTGATAATTAGCACTTTTTTCAGATTAAAAAAGTCACTGTTGTGACTTTTATTTATCCATGTGTATATTCTTATGTCTGCCTGCCTGCCCACCCACCCACCTATCTATGCACTCTTCCATCCATCCATCCATTTGGAGTTCGACCACCTGGTCTCTCAGGCATGAATTATAGCTTTCAGGTAAAATATCTTCTGTTGTATTGCTAATTCTCTTCTTAATAAAGTACAGCATTTTAGACTTTTTCTGGCCAAAGCCAAAATAAAAACCAAATAAAGAACAGCCAATAATGATTCTTACAACTGAAGTCATAAAATTTAAAGGAGATACAAATTGAATGGTTCACACACTAACTGGCACTGTGAATCTGTGCAACATTTTTTCTCAAGTTTCTCTGTCCTCGCCTACTTGGAATTCTACTACATTGAAAAAAAAATTATACTGTGCTATTTCTTACATACCATTTATAAAATAGACTCATTCCAGCATCAATCCTTCGGGGCCCTTCATCATTTGTACTTTCCTAACTTGCTAGACATGAAGTTCAGACATGAAGATCAAAGATCGACACAACTTCTGCCTAAAGACTTGAAAAATAAACTTCACTTGTCTCCTTCCATAAGCAGCATACAGAAGAGGAGACAAAACTTACAGTAACCATTTGTGAATAAGTCAAGCTCCTTTTAGGAGAGATGACCTAGAATAGTGATGGTGAACCTTTTAGAACTTTCAAGAACAAATAGCCCACTGTGACATGCATGCCGTAGGTTCATCACCACTGGCCTAGGGTTTGGTCATGCAAGTAACAGCAAGAAATATATCTCACTATTTTCTGCATGGAGTTTTAAGAGCTAACAGTGTATTTCTATATTGACTTTGTTATAATGAACGCTGAAGCTCTTGAATGGAAGTATGTTTCCCATCTGTAGTTCTTAGATTTTTTTTAATGCTATGTGGCCTGCAGTGCCTTGGTCACCACTAGTGAATATGGTGACAGCAGTGACTCCAGGGTCACCTAGCACAGAAAGCTGGCATATCCAAAGAAGGAAATGTCCCTAAAAAGCACCAGCCAATTGATAACCTGGGTCACAGGTCTTACCCTACCATTTACTGACAGTGACCAGTGGAAAGGAAGGAAATTGTTTTAACATTTTGTGCCTGTGTGTGCATTACCAGTCACAATACATTTTCCTTGATCCTTCTGATCACATTTTTACCAGTGAGAAAATAGACTCAGGGAAAATAAAATAAGTTACTTTAAATTGGTAGCCAGGAAATAGAGAAGCTAGCTATGAAAACCATGGCTGTCTAACCTACTGCTCTTTCCATTTCAGCAAATACCTCTCTGCAACTCAGTTTCTCCAACCTGTAATCTTACCTGTGAACATGTTTATCATGAAGATCAATTAAGTGTTTTGAATGATCTAGTGCAATACTGTGAGACCACTGCTTTATCATTCCCTGGTTATGAACACCTATTTCTACTGACATAGCCCAAGAAAAGACTTTCTTCCCCAGCCATATACCATTAATTCAAACTCAGCAGACGGTCAATTAAACTTAATTTTTGCAACAAATCCTGCTGGTTAGCCATACCCTGCTACCATATGTTTGTGTTACCTTTTTATAGCTGAACTCTTACACTTCCTCTTCATTAAACAGTTTAAAGAAATAGCTTTTATATGACTATTAAAAACTACTGAAGAATAACTTTTATATGATAGTGCTCAGGGCCCTAAGAATGAGAATTTTAGTTCCATCTCTAGAAATTTCTACTGTATATGTGGGACAAAGAAAAACAAGAAGGATAGATACTCAAATTTAAGTCAAAGGAGAAGAGTGTTTTGTAGGAATAAAGAGGGATTTTGATACTCAGAATTACAATTTAAGTTTGATAGAGATTGCTAGGACCTAAAATAACTGTTTAGGGGACAGTTATATATACAAGAAAGTGTTTTTTTTTTTTTTCCTGCTCATGGCAACTAGCATAGTCCTTTCCACACAGAAGTCTGAGTGAGGAAATCAGAGAGGAGTAGGGCTGTACCTGTTCTTACTGTACTCAAGATACACAATGAAAGTACACACCTATGCTTTGTTATAAAAACCTGATCATAATATCTCAAAGATTACCAACTCAGGAAAAACCCATTCTGTCTGCTACCACTATTTAATCTGAACATAAACATTTTTTCTTCCTGTAAGGTTCTTTAAAAAGAAATTAAAAAAAAATCTCATATGCTGAATGAACTTTATACCATACAGATAAGTTGTTTTTCTTTGAAATTAAAAAGTGATGACAGCATCTTTATTGTAGCTTTTTTTTTTTTTTGGTACTGGGGATCGAACTCGGGTCCTTGTGCTTGCGCAGCAGGCAGCATAACCACTGAGCTAAATCCCCAGCCTATTGTAGCTATTTTTAAAAGTTTTCATTTCTGCATTGGTCTAGGATTGAGCTAGCCTGAGATAGAATGAAGTACTTACAGAGAAGAGTAAGACTAGAAAGGAAAGAACAGAAGGAAGAAAAAAATCAGAAGTACTAATGGATTATATCAACAAATCATGGCTACTGCATAGTTGTCCAAATTTTGAGTGATACCTCAATTTAGAAACATTGATTTAATATTAAAGGTTTTTAGTACATAAAGTCATTTTAACAATTCAAGTCTTACCTTACAGGAAACAACTGAGGAAAACATCCTTGTGTTTTTGTGTTAACAAATTTTTGGATCTGAAGTATTTGTTTTAAAAGATGTCCTTTGGAAGATTTATCAATTTTTGTTAATACCATCTATAAGAAAACAGAATTTTAAGTATTAGAATTAAA